CCCGTTCCAAACACAATATCTTCTCAAGTACGTCAATTTCTAGATAGTGTTTTGAGGGGGAAATTTGGATGGGATATTTCGTTATCTAACAATCTCGACATAGCTCTCACGCAAACGTCCACTCCCAAAATCGCCCATATTACTGTCCTGTAAAGGGCTGTCCGCGCTCCGAAGGCGGAAAGGGCTTCAAGCGCAAAAACGAAATGAAACGACACGGCCTTGTCCATGACTCGCCAGGTTATGTATGCCCATTCTGCCCGGACCAACAGCATACTTACCCGCGCCCAGATAACTTACAGAGGTAAATCCAAACCTAACTAAAACCTCATCGTTTCATGTTGGTTTATATGTAAGAAATCGCAATGCAAAGCAACCCCATTCTAATCTAAATTGCACCATAGACATGTTCGAGTCCACCATATTGATAGGAACCGTGAAGACCCTGAATTGAGACGAGTTCTTGCCCAGCGACCGGAGGGCGGTATGAGAGGCAGACGACGACGAAATGGACTTCAGCATCAGCAGTAGCATAATTATCATCTTTCCCTCGTCTCAAGCGCATTTTCCGATCATGCAACGCACGCAGCACGCGATATTTTTGCATGTTATTTGTAACGATTCCCTTATTGTTATATCTTTTTTAACGTCCTGTTTATATACTTTTTTCCTTTGAATTTTTTCATGGTACGGTTTCTATCACGGCAGAGAAAGTATCGTCCAGCGCATTCGTCCAGCGCATGTTTCATTTTTTTCTTTCGAAAGAACGAAATTCGAACTTCTCTGCTTGCTAGTCCCCCCTCTAGAGATGACCTCTGGCCTGGTATGGCGCTTTCTTTTCTTTACCTTCTTGACATCCGTATACACAACTACCTTTCTCCTCCTTCCCCCCCCCCCCTCGCGTTCGTTTCATACCTATATTTAATTTTTAGTCACAGCGGGAGTACTTTTAACTTGATCTTACATTACATATATGGCGGGCAGGCAGGAGGGGCGCAAATACGGGGTTATTGATTTTTATTTTTCATTTCGCGTTCTTTGCAAATTCGCGGTACATACGTTAAATGGTTTACATATTTTATTCATTTGTTATTGCGGTTAACCATTCCCCCCCCTTTTATGTGATGAACATTTTTCTTCCTTTTTTCTTTCTTTCTTTTTTCCTTCTCTTTCTTTCTTTCTTTTTTTCTTCTCTTTCTTTCTTTCTTTTTTTCTTCTCTTTCTTTCTTTCTTTTTTTCTTTTTCTTTTTTTTCCCCCCTTTCCTTGACCGAGTGCCCTCGCTTAAAAGATTAGAGACGATATGATTTGATGGAACATCGTTATGATTGATTCGATTTGATTCCCCCTCTTGCTCTTGTTATTGTAATTGATGTTTGTTATCTTTTGTCTTGAATCATTTAGTTCTTAATCTTCTGTTCTTTATTGAATATTATATACGCTATTTACATGATGTTATCGATCAAATTTCATTGATGGATTTTTGAATGTACTGCTGGCTTTTACGAACGCTTGTATGACGCGCAGGAGAGGGAGGGGGCACATGCTGTTGTCATTGCTGATATTACAAAGGCTTCCCCCTAAGCTTTAGGATAGGGAGAAGCAGATATCTACCTGTATTCTATCATTCAAACAAAACCCGGAAAAGACAAATGGACGGGTATCTGTGTCATCCTAAAAAAAGGGATCTCATAAAGGTGAATACAAATAACAGAACGTGTTCATATGAAAGGATGGGGGCCTCTCGATGTATTGTTATCCGAAATGATGATAAATGTCTAAGGAAATGGTATGTTCAGGGCGAATTCCAGAAAAGCTAGACCAAGTCAATAGGCTGGCATTGAACGAAGATGCGAAACTCGAGCCTTCACCCGACTTGGGCTCATGGTAGGGCTATTCTTGGCAACGGCCTACCATCTCCACCCCTCTGTGCGCTGCCGCCCCTATCTCCCAACAGAGGCTTAAACACACCATCGTCATCCTCATCTCCCTTCGCAGTCGCATGCGCACTGCCATTCCCAACCGCAACTCCAATCCCAGCCATCTCTCCCACCTTCGTTGCCCTGTAAATGACATAATGCTGCAGTATAAAAATGACATCGAAGAATATGCTTACATTACCCAGCAACAGCTTGATCGGGTTACCGGTGACGCCGCTCCAATCACCGCCTTGCGCAGAGTCAATGAGCAGCTGTGAGATAGAAAGTACGCCGCCGGAAAAATCGAGGAGGATGGCTGAGATGCTCCAGCCGACTGTTGATTTGCGTTTGTAGTTTACCCAGGCTTGCGGAATGTATTTTATTATAGTTATGATGAGTTTTATGTAGGAGAGAGCGTAGCACTTTTTGGGTGGGTGGAGTGTTAGTTATAATAATCTGGAATTCTAAAGGGGAAGTCATGTTTATTGGTGGGGGGGGGGGGAGGGAAGCGGAAACGTACCACGTCTATCCACGCCCAATCCTTCGCATCGAGACTACTTCCGGTCCCCCGCGCCGCAACAACAACCAACAATATTGACACAGCCAGAGTACAGCCCCAAAACACCCCAACAATAGGCTTGCTTATCTTCTGAAACTTCGATACCCTAAATCCCCATATCGCCGGGAAAAACTGGCTGAAGACCAGCGAGCTAAGTACGACGGCATGCGCAGCGAAGGCCAGGTCGTTGAGACGCACGGTGGGTTCCGGGGCGATGGGGTAGCGGGAGGCATATTGGCGGCGGATCAGTGGGGAGTAGAGGAAAGTTGCTGTGTAGATTAGGTAGGAGATGAAGCCAAGGGCGTTTGTGGCTGGGAAGTCGATGGCGAGCCCGTGGGTCGAGCGGCGGCGGTAGTTTAGGATTGGTTGGGGGTAGAAGGAGGCGGACCAGCAGATTGTGCTGTGAGGGTTGGAGAGGGAGTTGGTTAGGAGAGGGGTCTTTTGGGAATAGGGATAGTGGTTTTGAAGGGGATAGAATGGGGGATGAATGGCATACTAGATCCAGCCGAGTAGGCTGCAAAGGTCGATGGGGGTATACCCAGTTCTCATATTAGCAACTTCTTTTGGGCTCTTGGGTTTGGTAAGGGGAAGGGGAAATAGCCACCTACCGTGATAGCGCCCTGACGAATACTTCGCCCTGCATTACCATGGTGTTCTTTCGTTGTAGCGGCTACGGGGGAGGTTCAGTCAGAAAGGGGTTGGAGAAAGATGTAAAAAAGGGGAGGCCTGCGAGTCTGTTTGGCTTGGATTGAAGGGGGGCGCCATCCGCATGACGAACGAAACATTGGATCAGAAGGGACCCCAGAGATAGGTCAGGTGAAGACGGCGACCACTAACTACATGGTGAGCCGTAGAAATGGTATACGGCCCAATTTATTTATTTTACTGGTTGATGTGGAGAGACGACCTTCGGCGTTGGAGTATCGTTTGGAGCAAGCTGTTGGTTGTTTGCATGGTTTGTTTGCATCAACCAATTTGCTGCCCTCGCGGAATCTACAAAGAAGCCCAACGGTTAAAGGAACATATATGTATGTATCTAGCTGGTCCATATTTTACTCCGCCACATGAGAGGGGTCTTATTTATTTGTCAGGCTTCTTTTCATTCTGATTCAGCCCCTCAAGGAACGCGTGATATCGTATATCCAACAGTGACGTCATGGAAAAAGGGTAGTTATGTAGTCTACCGGATCATATCATCTACCGGATCACTTCCATTCAATTCAAATCATTCATGCTCATTAAAAAAGATTCAGTATGTCAACCACCCTTACTAGAATGGCTTCTAATCAGGAAGCCAGGCTTTTATTAGCCATTAAAGCTTATTAAGCTCAGTAAATTACAACCATTAGAGCTGCTTCTAAGTTATATAATGTTCCCTATTCCTCCCTGGCCTATAGATTACACGGTTAAACCACACATAATTAAACAATCAAAAACTGACCTCTACAGAAGAAGAGTTTCTAGTTGAATGGATAATCTTCATGGATGAGAGAGGACAGCCTCCTTGAATTGAGACTGTATGAGAAATGGCCAATCTAATACTTGAAGGGTGTGAATCCAGTGCTTCTACTATTGTAGAAGAATGTTAAGTCAATAGATATATACAATGGCATTCTAAACTAAAGACAAAGTTCTCATATAAATATGACTATCAATGAGCTCAGTGTGAGGATTCAAAGATTCTATGTGAATAATTTACCTTAGTAGATTGTACAATAAAGAAGTATGAAATTATGCCAGGAGATATTTATAACTTTGACGAGATTGACTTTATGATAAGAATTATTTCAATAGCCAGAGTGGTCACTAGAGCTAAGAAAGATAATAAGTCATCTTTTGTACAGTTAGAAATTAGTGAATGAGCAACTGTGATTGAAGCAGTCAATACTACAGACTGAGCTCTACCTCTGATGATTATATTAAAAAGCAAGCATCATCAATTCTCATGATATGAGCAACTGCCAAAGAACTACACAATTGATGTCAATGAGAAGGGTTAGATCACAGATGAGCTTGGTTTAATATAACTATAAAAGATATTAAATAGATCTACTAAGACTTATACAATTGACAAAAAAAGACTATTGATTTTTAATGGATATGATAGTTTTGCCACAGTCAAATTTGATAAGTTTTGTCTGAACTATGGTATCATAGCATTCTATATACCTTTTCACTCCTCCTATCTACTGCAGCTACTAGATATGAGCTGTTTTTTACCATTGAAAAAAGTATATAGCAAAAAGATGGAGTAAAACATATAACTATAGATCAATCATACTGATAAAGAGGAATTTCTAGTTAGCTACCTAGCAGCTAGGCAGATGGTCATGAAGAACACTACTATAGGAAATAAATTCAAAGCTATAAGTTTAGTGCTATACAATTTAAATAAGATTCTTATATAACTACATACTCAATTTCATATACCTTCTTCCTCAGAATTAGTATATAAATCTTAGCTTTTCTGAACTTCTAAGATATTTTGCAATGTGACTCAGTTGAAGCTATAAAGCAGCATGATTAAACATCATATGAAGGTTCTTTCTAGTCTTATCAACCAAGCTCTTGATTAACTAGTGAAGGAATATTAGCTGGCTATGCATAGTGCTATTACATTAGTAAAGAAAAACACAGAGCTGAGAGCTATCAATGTTAAAAAAAAGTAAAAAAAAAGAGAAATTATATTTTTATATAGCTAAGAAAGAAATTCTAACAGCTCAAGACACATTAACTAGAACTGCTAGACCTTAGAAGTCTGATTAACATATGAAGAAAGAAATTTGAAGATTTGAACTCAGAAACTAGAAAGCAAAGATATTCAATCTGCAGCAAATATAATATATCTGAATATAATATTAGATAGTATCAACAAATCTAAGTATCTATTTTATATAATTTCTATATAGAATTTCTTATAATTATTGCTTATTTTGAAATTTTTTTTTAATAGAAGAATATAGATAATCTGATAAATGATATAGTTCAGTAGATGATTAATTATATTAATTAACTATTACTAATTAACAAATCAAACCATCTAATAGATTATTATTTTATATAATATAATTTAAATTAAGTAATAACTACAAGAAATTATATATAGAAATTATATAAGATAGACATTTAGATCTATTGACATTGTTAAATATTATGTTCAGAGATATTACACTTGCTATAAATTGAGAGTTTTTGCTTTCTTATTCCTGGATTCAAATCTTCAATCTGTTCTCTATATGTTGATTAGACTTCTAAGGTCTAGTAGTTCTAGCTAATGTATTTTAAGCTATTAGAATTTCTTCTTTAGCTATATAAAAATATAATTTCTCTCTTTTTCACTTCTGTCTGATATTGATAGCTCTCAGCTCTATATTTTTCTTTACTAATATAGCAGCATTATATATAGTTAGCTGACATTCCTTCACTATTCCCTGGCTGTGTGAGAGATGACTTATTATCTTTCTTAGCTCTAGTGATCTCTCTGGCTATTGAGGTAATCCTCATCATAAAGTAAATCTCATTAAAGTTGTTAATATTCTTCAGCTTCATCTCATACTTCTTTAGTGTACAATCTATCAAAGTAAATTATTTATGTAGAATATTTGAATCCTCACACTGAGCTCACTGATAGTTATATTTGTATGAAAGCTTTGTCTTTAGTTCAGAATGTCTTTGTATAAATCTATTAATTCTAATATTTTTTTTATGATAGTAGAAGTACTAAATCTATACTTCATAAGTAGTAGATTAGCCATTTCTCATACAGTTATGATTCAGAGGCTGTTCTCTCTCATCCATGGAGATTATTCATTGAACTAGAAAATCTTCTTCTGTAGAGGTCAGTTTTTATTTTTTTTTAATTAGGATTTTACGTACATGATTTGACTGTGTAGTTTATAGGCCAGAGAGGAATAGAGAATGTTATATAACTTAGCAGCAGCTCTAATAGTTGAAATTTGCTGAGCTTTATATACTTTAATGACTAATAAAAGCCTGGCTTCCTGATTAGAAGCCCTTATAGTGAGTTGGCATGCTGAATTTTTTAATGAGCATGAATGATTTGGATAAAAGGTTGATCCGTTAGGTGATGATCCGTTAGGTGATCCGGCCCTGCTGACTCAGCTCTTCTGTTATATAACGGTTATAGTACTGTAATTACCATACGGTTGTCCTGGTTATGAGTTGGCAGTGCTAAGCCAGAAACGGCAAACCGTTTACGCCCAGCTCTGTTACCCGCCAGCAAGGACGAATACGTACCTTCCTAAGCAACGCACACAGTATGTGATGTATCTCCCCTCGTAAAATTTGCCTGGCGTGACCTCAACCTTATCCCCGTCCGCAATCTCCACCTCAAACCCATCATAACAACAACATCTCCAATAACTTCACCCTTTTGTCTTGCTTCGCTTTGTTACGCTGTATACTGTACAGGATCTGATAACCAACCCCCCCCCCCCCCCCCCCCTCCCTCCACGAATGCTATATATCCACGGTGTACGATTAGTCTATCTATCCATAGACTCTGTGCTGAACAGTGCATTCCACTCTCTTACTCGACCATTATATATTTCCTCCCGTTTTAACGCTCGCCAACGTCTGCCCAATTTCCACAGCATCTATCTCCCAATTTGCATGCGCCTGGGCAAAAGCAGTTACAGATCATATTCCTAGTTACTCAGTATCCGTTTATCAGACTCCGTACCGGTCCCAACTACTGGTCTGCCCTTGAAAGAACGATCGCTTGATTAACTTTGGTTCTGGCTTATGGTACATTCCTCGGGGCGAGGGATCTTGTATAGGTCTCCTCAGCTGGGCTCCGACGGTATTGCACTCAAGGGGGGTTGGGAGCTGCAGCCTAGTACAACAAGGCGGGGGAAGTGCGGTACAGTTTAATCACCTGGCCTGGACGGGCAACGGACCGTCAATTGAGGCCGGAACATGTCTCCTTCTCCGCAACTGGCCCCGCCAGGATCCAGTACCTACTCGTCAAATATCTTAAACGTTGGGGATGGAACATGGGACTCCCAGCGGAATACCTTCCTTTTACCCAATTTGATGGGCTTGAACTTTGAGGCTATGAGGTATAATGGTTAGTAGACATAGGATTTTCCTTCTCTTTCTTATCCCGTGGCATGGCTAATATGAAAAAATGCGGCAAAGCTGTAGCTAACACAAACTGATATAGGCATGGGGAACAGATTTCGAGAAATGGCCGGTTACCATTCATTAATTCGAGCACACGGCGTGCTAGCTGCTATAACATTCCTCTGCCTCATTCCCACCGCCATATTGATGGCCAGATTCTATTCTCCATCGCCTTACTGGGCCCTGAGATATCATATATGGCTTCATATTCTTTCGTTGTTTTTATCAACAGTCGTTTTCGCCCTGGGCTGGTTCGCTGTTGGGCCCAGAAGGAGTTTGACAAATCCACATCATGGCATTGGGTTGGCTATATATGTTATGATCATTGTGCAGACGTTCTGGGGTTGGTTTGTTCATAAGCGCACAAAGAACAAGCGGTTATACCATATTCCATTAAAGCTCATGGTAAGTTTGCGACTGTAGCATTCAAACTCAGGTCATAATTGCTGACGAGAATCAGTTCCATAAATGGTTGGGTCGAGGCCTGGCTTTACTTGGGATTGTCCAAATCCCCCTTGGACTAACTCTTTACGGATCGCCATTGGCACTTTTTGTTCTCTATGCCCTCGCTATATTTACTCTCGTTGTAATTTATTTCGTCCTCACCTACCTCCATGAACGCCGAATGGGTGCAGACTATGACAGCCGGGGAAGTTACATGTCAGGCCCGGAAGTCGTTGAAGATGGACATGGTCACAACAACTTAGGCCGTCTTGCGACTGCTGGGGCTGCCGGAGTAGGCCTTGCCATGCTAGGAAGGCGAATGAGAAGGCAATCCGGGAGCGGAACATCTGTAGATGAATCAGACGTAACGCCTCGGCCACACCATGAAGACGAAAAACATGATAACCGGGGGAGAGGATGGGGGAAACGATTTGTCCAAATAGGGGCTTTGGCAGGAGCTGCGGGGTTGGCAAAAAGATATTTTGACAAACGCCGTGACCGAGAGAGTGATACAGAGTCGGGAAGATATGAACCTGCTGATGGACACGGCCATGGCCATGGTCATGGACACCATGACAGCCTGTACGATGATTCTTTAATCCACACAGAGGAAGGAAGACCACCACCCAGCCATCCACGGCCATACGACAGACCTCCTGGCCGCCTGCCAAGCCCGGAATACACGGACAGCGGGTACATGTATGGCAGCGAATCGCACCATGGAGCCAGGAACGCTCTTTTCGGCGCTGGTGCATTTGCTGCATTGAGAGGACTATTCAAGAGCAGGGAGAGAAGAGAACAGGACCGTGTCCACGAACTGCGACGGCAGGATATTGAAAATGAGCGAAGGGCAAGACAGAGCGTGAATCACCGGAGATATACGGGAGATGGCCAGCCACCCCGCAGAACAGGGCGGAGAGGTTCATTTAGCACAGAGATGACAGAAAGCACAGATCCGCACGTCGCGCCACCACCGGACGATATCCGTCCCATCCCACCCAGCCACCAAACCACCCCAGGACCCGACACTGCCACTTCAATGTGCGGAAGACGCCCCACAGGTGCGGCAGCTGCAGTAACAGCCAACTCCAGCCGTCGCCGCCGCAGCGGTGGCGGTCGCGAGCACTCCGTCGACTCCGAACCCGTCTCCATTAACGTCAAATTCCACAACGATCAGGGACGTCGAGTGACTCTGCGTCGTCTGACCCCCGGGGAAGCTGCTGCGTCAAGAAGGGCGAAGAGGAAAGATCCCGGTCAAACTAGTCGACGGCGACATGGGAGTGTCAGTGAGCTGTCGGGGCATGAGGGTGGGGATGACCATTGGCGACGTGTCGAGGAGCAAGAACGCAGGCAGCAGGAGGAGTTGGCTTCTGCGGCGACGGCGGGTATGGATGCTGGTGTTGGTGCAGCGACTGTCCCACCGCCAACCATGGCTCCGGATGATGGACTGCCTCCAACACCGACGCAAATGTATCCGCCCCTTGCACCGCAGAGCGTGCTTTCTGGTCCATTGCCGCCTCCCTTACCTATCCCCGCTGCGGCGTCTAGTTACATTAATTCACCCCCGCCTGGTAGTACTGATATGAGCAGTCATGCTAGTAAGAGGGAGCGGAGGAGGGCGGAGAGGAGGACGGTGTCGAGGCAGGGGAGGCACAATGTTGAATTTACTTGAGGGGTTTTTCTGAGGTTTTTTTTTCCCTTTCCTCTTTTTGAGATGGTATCTTGTTTTATCCATCATTTTGTTTTCATGTTCATCTTATATCATTGCTTCATGTCTCATGTCTCATGTTTGATTTTTTGTATTGCAATGTGTTTAGATCTACTTCTCATGACTGATGACTTTCTTGTATGTACAGTATTGTACAAATCTTTTCCTCCAGCATTCAATGTTTATATTTACTGCTGATTATGCTCTGATTTTATTGTAATGTTCTGAACTCTTCTTGTTGCAATAAATGCAGTGCATGCTAAACCTATCAAACATCATGTCATGTATTGTTTTTCTCTATATATGTTCAAGATTTTTTGATTCTCTACTGTTTTGAACAAAGGCAGGAAAAAGAACAACTTTTCTACTCTCTTCTCTCATCTTGATTCTTTCAAATTTAATATCTCTGCTGAGAAGATTGCTGTATATCTATTGAGCAGAATATTATGTTCTTTCTCTTTTCTTCATCTTCTTATCTCAAAATTTCATATCTCACTCTCTTGTTGACTTTTACATTCTCAATGGATGTTGGTCATTTTCTTCTACTACTACTACTACTACTACTACTACTTCTGCTGCTGCTGCTGCTGTTACTTTTTCATTTACTTATCTTTTTTTCTTTCATTTAAAGTTTGATAGAACTTTTTTGACAATTCATCTTCATGATATTCTATATCACCTTCAACTATATATTCTGCTTCAGTTGTTTTCTTTTTAACTTCTCACATCATATTATCAACTTATGAACTGCATAGAAGGTTAGCACTAATCATCACTTGTTGATTTTATTTTCTTCTAGTTTATTTTATTATATTTACTTTGATTTTGTTTCTGCATTTTCTGTGCTTTATTGATTTTCTATGTAGAATTATCAGCTCTTTATGCATTATTGTTGTTGAATTCAATTTTATCTGAGATAATTGCTTTAGATATGATGAAGAGGCTGATATAAGATACATTTTGACTTGATGCTTTTCCATTTTTGAAGACAGACCACTTTGCCAAATAGAGCAAAGGGGAGAATATAATGAGGAAGATGAGAGAGTGTAAGCAACTGCTCTAGACTGACTGATTCATGCCCATGAGTATTGAAGAGAGGCATAGACAGAAAAGTCAGAGATCTTATAGACATAAGTAATCTATACTTTTCTCAGTGAAATATTGCATTTCAACACTTACTGCTGTAAAACTATTATAAAAAAGAAAGATATTTAAAATAATCATCATACCAGAAAGAATTAATGATAAATTATGAGGCATATAGAAAAGTTAAGTTTTGAAATGTTCTAAAAGAGCAAATGGCTGATATAATTCTACACATAAGCATTGAAAAATATGGCGGTGATCTGACATGGTGGGTGAAGGATCAGGTTGAATATGTACATAAAACGAATTTATTTCAGAGCAGCCTGCAGGCTCTCCAGCACCTATAACAACAACTAGTCAGCAACAATTCAGTAGCGGCGAATGACGAAATATATGCCATCATGTCCATACCTCCAGCTCAATCTTCGCCTCAGCGATATCTTGCTCGCTACCACTGCCGCTGGCGATTCTCTGTGCTTCAGCAATCTGTGATTTCACAGCCTGGCAAATAATATTTCATTAGTACTTCTTAACTGCTAGAGCGGCTCGGGATACAGGTAAGCTAATTGCACCTCACCTCTGCGCTGAATTGATCAAGGGTGTAACCTTCGACGGCATTGATGCTGAGCTGGGAGTTGGGCTGGACGATAGCGAAGCCACCAGACACTAGTAGAACAGAGAAAATAGGTGTATTAGAGACGTAATACTGAGAATTTTGCCTTCCTAAAAGCTTGCCAACCGCTCAATGGTTTGATGATGACATACGGAAGAATTGCTTGGTTCCTCCGGATTCCTCGATGATCTCAACGAGGCCGGGCTTCAGTTGTTCGATGGATGGGACGTGGTTTGCAAGAATACCCATCCCGCCAGATTCGGCAGGGATGTTGACTTGGATGCTGTTGGTTTTCCGGATAACATCGCATGGTTAGTTTATTTTGATATTCGCGAGTGATGATTTTGTGGTGTAGGAGTCAGCTCTCGAGCGGGAGCCGCGGGGGGAAACATACACGTCTGTCGATTTGTAGATGCTCTGCACACCGGCGAGAGTCAGTAGCAGGCCCAAGGATGAATCGCAATCTATGCAATTAAGATAATGTTGATTGCGGGCCGGGGAATATACGTACCTCATGTGGGAGAACAAGGGAGAGTTTTATTTTGTCGGCCACAGCATCGGCATATGCTCTCCGCTGGAGGGGGGCCCTGATAGCGGCAGGCCTTGCCCGGAGAGCAGCCCGAGCGATTCTAAGAGAGTTCATGGTGCAATTGGCGGATGGAGAGGCGTGGCAGGTGGAGAGGCGAGACTTGAAGCAGGACAGCAAGTTGGAGATTGTCGAGTTGGGAGTTCGGCAACAGGAGGCTAGTACGGATCTAGATAAGATGACACGTGATCATGGGTATCTCGTGACGGAAGAGGATCAGTAAACGGATGGAATTCTGAAAGAAGATACATATGTATGAATGGTTCTCTTGAGTGTCACATAGTTACTGAGATAATTCAGTTACAAGAATGACAAAATAACAACGCGTTTGCTGCATCCAAATCTCACGATATAGTTACTCCTGCAAGGGGGATTGACAGAAACATCAAAGCATTGGTTTTTACTGTCAAGCTACAGATTGAGTGAACATAGACATACAATAATGACCCAAAGAGAAGTCTCGCATGCATCTACATCATCCACAGGAATGGTGTAATCGTCGAATTGATATCAAATATGGATCCTGTTGTAGTCGTCGATGTTGTACAATTGTTTGAAGCCGAGACACTGGGACTTTGCCCTTGATAAAATCATCCCACGTGACTAAGCGAGATCCCACACACAAACCCTACGCGAGCGCATCTTCGTCGTCTGGCAGTTCAACCTCAAGTCACCTCCGCCGCTTCGACACCAACAGCTCTTCTGTTGTGACAATCCCGTCAAAAAATGGCCAGTATGTAGCCCTCCTGATATGTCCCCTGTCTTGTTTATGACTGGAAAGGCGGCCCGTGCCTGTCAGTTCCTGAGCCCGGTTTCGCTGATAATTTTCAACTCTCAAGAGTCAAAGAACAGCTCGCAGCACAACCGGAACGCAAAAGCCCACCGAAACGGGTATGTGAATACCTTGTTTTCCAACTTGGAACCTGCTATGCCCGATTTTGCCCTCACACTTGGACAAAATTCGACTCATGGAGCACTCCAAACCATTCTACTTCTACACTATCTGACCGGACATGTACTGATATTGGACCTCTTTTAATCCCACAGGATCAAAAAGCCAAAGACTCACAGATACCCCTCCCTCAAGGGCACAGATCCTAAGTTCCGAAGGAACCACAGACATGCTCTTCACGGCACTATGAAGGCGCTGGTATGTGTTTGTCTTTGTTCATATTCTCATTGAAATGTCGAATTCGTTGGGAGATATGAAAAGCGCACCATGAAACTGACAATTCATTACAGAAGGAGGTTAAAGAGGGAAAGAGAGAATCTGCATAATCCGTTCCCTTTTATTTTTTTTTGTTCCCCGGGTTACGGTCCAGTTTCCATATCCTATTGTCATGTCTATAGATCCTTGCAAATCTGGCTGCGAATCGGGAAAAAATCATGAAAAAGCTTTGAAAGCCTTTCTGCGGAATTCTCTTTTCTGGGTCCACTACTTATCTCCTGTTGGGAAGTACAGATATCTACGCGAATGGAGGTGGCTTGCCTCATCCCAGGCGGCATATGAGGGTTTGACGATTAGGGACAGCCCTCTCTCAATTTGACAATAGGTAGATCCGTTCATAATGTCACGGGATCAAAAATTTTAACGTCGTTTAATGTCCTGTTCCATACCTGGCTTCCTTTTTTTTTTGTCTTTTTGTTTCGTGAAAGAGGGTGTGTGTGGGAACTACTGCGATTATATCCTACTTCCTATCCCCTCAGTCAACGCCCCTTCTGAATAGTTATATTTGCGATTTCTCGTGCTACCGTACTGGGGCACAACAGGCATATGTGTGTACAGCAGTGGTTATTTTTCCCCCATGTCCAATTGCTGAAGGATTATTATCTATTCGTGCCGATATTGAAATATTCTGCCGTCTAATTACCAAACACCTCTTTCCTTGTTCCCCATGGTGTGAAGGTGCATGGACAGATGGCTACATACATATTCTATGGTGTTATGGCTATTGGATTAGAGTCTTTTGTATTTGCGTTCTTTTTGCTGTTTATATTTTTAGTATTCATACAATCACAGCGGCTAGTCTCTGCGCTGTGATTCAAGTTAGTATTAAATATCAACAATGGTCTCTCTACTCTCGAGGAAATTTGATTTCATTCAGACTCTACTCGATACGGATTTCATCTCCCTGATTAATCACGACCCAACCTTCCAAACAATCAACCTTTTGTCAAATCCCCCGCTCAACACCAATTCCCCAACTCCAGCCTCTCCTTCATGCTCACTTACCCAACCCGCCCATAGACTCCTGACCTTAGACCCAGGCTCATGCCCGCCCTCTAATTTTGTAATAAGTCTCCCTGTCTTGGCTTCAATGCCTCTAATCATCCCGTCATCTCCATTCACCCAGACCCCAGACCCATCTGGTCTCCATACCACCTGTGGAATCGAATACGCTGTCTGTGGAGCCATTGTGTTGACCTGGACGACGATTGCAGAATCCTCTCGATTTTGGATAGTTAGCTCTGCTAGTGCCTGCGAGGCTTGCGTCTCCGCACGTGCCCGAACCGCTTCGGATGCAGTTGATGGTATGAGGAGCCGGACCATTATTAGTTTCATATGCGGCTGGGAAGAAGTTGCGACGGCAAGGAGGCCCGGGTCCCGCGGGCTAATAGCAAAGCATGCTGGGGAAAACGCAATCCAGGCGTTCGAATGTGGTGCCAGGTTCTGCTTGCCGAGAAGCGGGCATTCATACAGCTTTGAATGGCTACTGTCCCGTTTCTCCAATCTTGTAAGGGGCGATTCAACAAGGTAGTAATATAGATTTGTAGAGTCACGTCGCGAAGCTAGAAGGACCAAGTCTCCTGTATCCCGATTACGGATGAAAAGAATGCATTCTGGTATCGTGGCCGTTTTGATAACTGCCAGCGGCTCCCCAATCGAGGGTTGTGCACCTATGTCCGGTGCAGTGATGCGGTAGATATATACTCTCGAGTCCCAGCCTGCTGTTGCTAACCATGTCGTTTGCACTTCTGGCGGTTCTTCCTGAAAGCTGACCACGCTCACGGCATACTTGGTATGGTCCTTTCTCGAGTCCAAGATTTTCGGTCTTGGCCCTTGGAATAGTATTAGTAGTCCAGACATCGTCGTCATGGCTCTGTACGCTCCATCATATAGAGAAACGCAGCTTAGAATCGGGGAATCTGCTACATTTTCATATGTCAAAGCGACGTGGTAACAAGGGCCAATATCAATGAGGCTCAGGCGCCTGTCCGCCCCTGTGTATATGATTCCCGATGAGACCTCTGGGTGGCCATCTTCAGATATTTTTATACAAGGTTGAACAGAGGCCGAAAGGATATTTGCTTCACTTGGAGTTTCAATAGGTATTGGTATCGATGGTGCTGGGACGTTGATTTTAGTAGGTATCGGGATATAAACAATATGAACAAGACAGGAACAAGCAAGTCGCAAGCGAAAAGAAACACTCGAACTTGAAAAAGGAGACAAAAGCAACATCATCATGAATGAAAGGCAATTTTATCTCTGCTACATCAAGGCTGTTTCGAAATTCCAGCGTCCAAAATACAAGTTCGATATATTTAACAGGCTCCAGATCAAGAGATAGAATCCTTAAAAGAACCCCAAAGCAAACATATTCATCCAGAGGCAAAAAGGGGCTTATAGTAATGATGAAGCATCCCAAAATATCCAATTTTCTCCAAACGTAGATTCACTCACCAGGAGACCTCCACCTCTCCTCCAGCGCCGCGTCTGCACTGCCGAACCTTTCTAGTTCCAAAGTCTTATCAAAAACTCTCTTTTCCTCCATTATTTTCTCAATAGTCCAATTTTCGTTTTCAGACTCAGAAACCAAAGACCCCGCCTCAGCTGGTAGGCCTGCTTCCTCGATAAATGCTGCCAACGTTTGCGAGTAGTTATTGGACCTGAGAAAACGCGCCACTAGGATGCGAGGCGACAATGAGGATGAAGATGGAATTGGAGGCATTTAAAATTTATACTCGACATAAAGCACTCTCTCAATTACATATACTTGCCTCCCCTTTATATTCTGGTGAAAAGAACCTTGAGTAGAGTGAGAGTTTAGATCCTGACGTTGCTGACCTAAATAGGAGGCATTCAGAGGGGAAATCCCAACCGGTAATTTTAAAGTGGAATCATACCCCAACTATTGGATACAAGTTGGGGAGGTGAGTTTAATCCCTATGAATTCTGACGTCAATATCGACTTCACTGTCGTAATATTACGGAATCAAAAATTGGTTGTTCTATGTACAGATTCATGGGACTTCAGTGTAAAAGACATGGAGTGGAAGAAGGGGTTTGAAAGGGAACTTTTCACAATATTTAATGTAAATCCCAGCTGAGGGGGCACATTAAATCCGGCAATTCCAAAACTATCTTCTGACTTTTGAACACATCCAACTCAACACGCATTTATCCCATCAATTTGCAAGAAAAATGCAAGAAACTCTTACAAATAGAGGGAAGACTTGAACTTCGTTATCCCTGCTTTTTTAAAAACCAAGAAATATTCATAGTTCATATGTAAGTTGCATATTTATTTGATGTGTCACTCTCTTCTGTTGCATTTAAGCTCAATGACCAGTCTTTACTGATGAATTTACATGCCATATCACACAAATTGACTAAGACTAAAGAGAATATGCTAGTTTATTGAATTTTAGATCTGAATAAACAAGAATTACTCACTTATTAGCATTTGTTGAGAACATGATTAATTGTTTTCATTTATATCTATTCTTATAATAAAAAAACTGAGTTTATGAGATAAATATATAATATATAAAGCTTAATAGTTACTATTTTATATATTAAAACCATAATTAATTTAAATATAAAAATAATTTTTTTAAAAAAGTAATTTATTTTAAATTAAAATATTTTAATTCAAATAGTTAAAATTTAATATAAATAATAAATTAAATTAAATTAAAATAATAAAAAAATTTTAAAATTAAACTTATCTATATATTTAATATTTTAAATAAAAAATAAAAAATTATTAATAAAAAAATTAAATAATATATCTTTATTTTATATTTTAAATTATAAATTATTAAAATATATTAATATTATTATTAAATAAATATTTTATTTTAAAGTTATTATATAAAAATTTAAAATTTTTTATTTAATTTTAAAATAAAATATTAATTAATTAATAATTGTGCCTCTGTGCACCCACATCTGATGTGGGTGCACCACAGTGTAATGATAAAAACAGTGTAATGATAAAAATATCAACTTCTTCATTAATCAATCTTCAAATATTAATATATCACCACCACCATGATCAATAAGATAGATGATCTTGAAAAATGTATTCAGAGTGCCATTGAAGTCTATAATGACAATTGAAAACAGAAAAACCTACCTCTGATGTGCAAATTCAACATTCCTTATCAATGTCTTCAAGTAAGAATCAATGAAAGAAAAACACACAATGCAAAGACTGCACTGAACAAGAAGCTTAGCAAGAGCTAGGAGGATGTGTTAAAAGAGTGGATAGCTCATATGAATAGAAATAATTGCCTGCTGACCACAGAGCAGATTCAAGATAACATGAATCTCATTCTCAAACACCATCATACTGATCCTTCAATCTTCCCACCCATGGTCAGCAAGATGTGGACCTATCAATATATACAAAGCTTGAATAAGTATAAAAGGGTTAAGCAGAAGGCAATGGATCTGAAAAGAATTGCTGTTGAGGATATTAGCTACATCAAGATGTGATTTGACTATTTGAAAATCTTACTTCAAAAGTACATATTTCAAACCTGCAATATCTACAACTTCAATAAGATTGGCTTTCAAGAGGGTCAAGGATGTGGAAAATGAGTTATTACTACTTTTAAAGACTTTAATTCAGTTATAACTTCACCATATTCTCAAGAATTGATCACTGTGATTGAGTATATTTCAGCAGATGATGAGGTATTGGATCCCTTCATCATCATGAAATCCAAAACCCAACTTGAAGATTGGTATACACAAAGTAACCTACCAGGTGGATATACAATTGCAACATCAGATACTGACTATACCAATGATGAGATTGGCTTTGCATGGATTCAGCACTTTAATGAGGCCTCTAAAAAACATCAGCAAGATAGTCATCAATTGCTGCTTCTTGACAATCATGAATTTTATCTCACTAAAGAATTTCTACAATACTGTGATCTCCACAAGATTATTCTATATGAATTTCCTTCACATTCAACTCATATACTGCAATCTCTAGACAGTGTGCCTTTTCAGCAGTATAAGCACTACCATTCAAAGGCAGTTAATCAAGCTGTGTGATATGGATATGAGCAGTATGAAAAACACCAATTTCTACAGAATCTAGTTGATGTCTGCAAAAAGACTTTTCAACCTTCTACTATTCAGGCTGGCTTCGCGGATTGTGGCATTGTCCCATTCAACCTGCAATCTATACTGCTTAAGCTAGATTCAAAGGTCCCTGACTACCCTGAGTTGCAAATATATGGAGAAGACTTCTTTTCACTGCAATCAAGCTGTTCAGATACTGCTTCATTACAGCTATTCTCACTCAAGACAATTGAGAAGCTACAACATCATATTCAAGTGGCAAAGAAGGCAATGCAAGATATGGGAGGATACACTTGATTCCAAATCACCTCATCTGAGCAATTGATTGAACAAGATTTTCCAAGGCAGTCTTGTTCAGGTGGAACTCAATGCTATAAGAGAGAGTGAGATTGAGAGTTACTACCTTGCAATCAAACACCACAGCACTAAAAATACACATCAGCAGGTTCAAGTAGGAGGTATACTCACTGTCAGGGATTCAAATAGAAAGATCACGCAATGTAAAGAGGAGGAAGCAGAAAAAGAACATTATAAGGGAGTCAAATATGTTGAGAGAGCTTTGAAGAAAAATGCCACAGATCCAACTCAACAAGAGGTTAATGATATATATGAACATCTCGCGAATAATACAGCTACTACAGATGATATAGATAAATTAATTATCATAGATTAGCAGCGTGGTGATGAGATATTAATTTTTGAAGTTCTAATTATCCATATTTTTATCATTACGCTGTTTTTATCATTACGCTGTGGCGCACCCACATCAGGTGTGGGTGCGCGGAGGCATGATTAGTTAGTTAACTATTAAATCTACATTATTAACATAATTTTTCAGATAAATACAAACTTTAATTTTAATTTTTTAAAGTTTAATTATCTTATCTTATTTTTAACTTTATATTCTTTTATATTAATTTCATATAAATTATATATTTTTATTTTTTCTTCTATTTTCTTAAAATATAGTTATTTTTTATATTTTAGCTTATTACAACTTTTTAATCAATATTATTAGATTTTATTGCATAAACTTAGTATTTATTAAATAACTAAGTAACTAGTTATTTATTTTTAATTTTAGTATTATCTCGGTTTGCATCGCTGTCGCTGCTTGCTCGAACAATTCATCTTAGCATTGCGGGTATGAGCCGCTAATGCTAGGTTATCATAAATAGTTTCTTGTCAGGCCTATCCGCCTTCTTACGTAATCCGCACCGTATATAACTTCCGCGTAGCTAGCGATCGCTTCATAATCAATCAGGCAATCTATCCTTCACATTTCTTTCTAGACCTAACATTTGTTTTTATTCATGATACTGTGTCGTACCTCCACCTGCCAAGCCGTGTAAGGAATCGTACATATTCTTGGGGGGGGGGATTTTTTGCGGTCTTTTTGCTCAGTGCCAAGATGATGAATCTCAGCGTATTAATTTTTGGTTAATTGATGATCGCGGAGCCCAGCTTAGTGCCTGAACTTCAATAAAGACCAATCCAGTTCGCCATAGCAGGCGCTTAAACCCAGTCTGACATCGCAATTCTGGGGCACAAAATTCGACTTCCCATCCATCACCACTCTCTCTGAGAATTTATCATGGGAATGGACAAGATGGCAGAACCTATAAGCCTCACTTCCGGACTACTGACTTTTGACTACTTTTGCCCTTTAAATCTAGCATCACACTTTATGAGACTATCAAGAGTTTTCAGTCTCATCTGAAATCTGTACACGGCTTTCTCGCGGAGCTTGAGGCATTGGGTGAGGTTCTAGCCCCGCTCACGGACACAGTCAATGCTAATGTAGGCCTCTCTGCTCTAAATTTCCCTTACTACACTGCGGAAAATGCCTGCAGAGATTTTAAAGAGGAAATTATGAAATGTTCATCGCGGTCTGGTGGTGGTCGGACAAGCTTTTGAGACTGGGCCAAGTAAAGGTACACGGGTGATGACATCAACTGTTTCACACAAACACTGGCTGGATACAAGTTGACCATAAGTATTGCCCTCACTGATGCAATTCTGTAAGTCTCTAGTATCCTGTGCATAGCACACAGCTGTTTGACTAATAACTGGGTCAGTCACAGATCTGCTGTCAATGCTGAGACCTTCGAAAGATAAAAAGACCTCATAAAGAACGTGAAGCCTGATCTTGAGGCTCATCTTGAAAGCATTGATAGAAAACTTGAGCGTATAATTGAACAATCCATGCCAGAGTCTAACTCAGATGTGTTAGAACTACAGCAGGTAAAGGAGGATTGCACAAGCACAGAAAAATGTCTCCAAATCTGTTGTTCCCTGATTGTCCAACCGCATTAATCAGATTCAGCTCCACCTTGAGCGCGGTGACAACTCTCCCAGACAAGTTGATCTGGATACCTTGCCTGAAAATGTTACCAGTGAGGTCCTGCAAGAATGCAAATATAGCCTTATTCTTATGACTGCAAAATTGGAAGAAAGGCACCTGTGAGATATCATGAACCAATTGCTGACAAAATCCAAGACACCTATTGTGTCAGGAGGAACATTCAAATCTTGCAAGGCTACGGGGTGGATGGAAGATGACCTGTCAGTGCTTTGATATCTGCTCTAGAGTAGACAATAACTCGAACCAAAGCATTAGCACACTTGACAACTACGCGACCGGCGACGGTGTACAATTGATGGTTTCGACTAGCAGGAAGGTCAGTCATGATAAAAATTGAGGACTTGGGTGGAGATTGAGGAAGGTTGCGGGTTCCCCTTAGTGAAGCTTCAGTCCAACAGTTATTACCACAGGATACGATGAGCATCAACTTGCGAAATACTCAAGATGAAAGAGCTCATCTTCGCCAGGTAAACCACCATCCATTTCCTGATGACGGTGTGGAAAAAGAATCCCACTCCAGATTTCAGCGAACAGGCATGGGCGAGGTTTTAGGCTCACGCCTAGGTCTTCCACCTACGTCTTCTAATTTGGCAGGAGGGTGGACCAAGTAACTCATTGATAGCATAGAAGAGTTGGAAGGATTCGCGCTCGCACTCCAGTGACATCAATCCCGCTCACTCTCGAAAAGCCCCCAACAGCGTACAATCGGATGAAACCAGGGCGCCTCTCGCTGTTGATCACGCGCCTGATGCTGACGCGCTTCCATGCTGTCTTTGGGCTGCCCATCAAATCAAAAGATCAAGCTTTCAATCAGGAAGGAAGACTTCTTCTAGTCATTAACGCTTATGAAACTCAGCAATTTTCAAGCATGTGAGTAGCTGTCAAGGTTGTATGATGTTGCTTTCTCAAGTCTATTCTCTTGACTACACAGCCAAATCGCACACATGAATTCTCAATAAGACAATTGAAAGCTGGTCTCAATTGAAGCAGAATCTTCAGTTCAATGAATAATATTCATGAATGAGAGAGATCTATTCCTCTGCATCATAATCATATGAGATGTTACAGCTTCAATTTAGGCGCAGATAAACAGATATTTGATTTGCCAGCTGGATAAGCTATTTCAACAAAATACTAAGATGCGCTACAGACAGAGGCTCAGGGAAGCCTCTGTTTATATATACCCCTTTTCCAACTAGCAGTTGCCATGCCGTTGCTAGGCAGCTCCGGTCCTAGTAGCCATTCGCCGTCATAGCGCAGTAGCCAGCGCCGTAGCCAACACCGTAGCCAACGCCATCACACCATGGATGTCATGGATAAAGAGGTAGCTGTGGTCATTGCTGAGAGGAGAAGCAAGAATAAAAGTGGGTAGCATTTCAGAAAAGAACGGGAGAGTTGAAGATGCTTGAATGGTTAATCGTATCGATTGTTTTAGCATTGATGAACATTGAGTCGGAATTACAATTACCCGGTAGTCTAATTTGGCCATGGGAATCTTTGGAAAGCCTTAAAACATCTCGGCATCATCCTGCTAACCTTCAACCACCCCCTTCGCTGGCCGACATGGTCTACTCTATGGCATTTTATCTCTGCATTTTCAAGGAGAATTGTTCGTCCTTTCCAATTTAGGCTCGATGGGTTGGCCGAGCCAGGAGTTGAGGTTGAGCAGTGCACAAGAAATAGAAAAGGAGATACAGCAAGTAAGATACAACACCAAACTATAGTATGTCTTTTGCTAAGCTTTTATTGTCTAGCATGTCAAATCAACTCCATTGAAAGATTCGCAAACACACATTGAAGAAAATAGTTCAGTTGCATGGGATGGAAGCTCAGAACTGGTAGCCTATGACCCTCTTGTCAAAGAAGTTCTGGATCATGGCTCAACCTCCATCATTACACGGATCAAACCTGGGGTTGTTCTCAAATCGCCTCGCTATTCATGGTGGCATTCTCCAACTGCAGAATTCCATGATTCAGTCAAACATATCAAACATAGTTTCAATGTTGAAGTGCAAATTCTTGGGATCTTAGGGGACCACTCTAGAATAATAAGGTATGAATACTCGAAATTTTATTTCCTGTTCAGCATTAATGTATGCTCAGGTTCCTTGGCCTCTCTGAAAGCCCTCGAGGCTTACTTTTTGTGGAGGCCAATGCTGGAAATTTGCAAACATACCTTGACCACCACAGTGGTCTGATTAGTCCAATCTTGCGTCTTCAATGATGCTCTCAAGCTGCAGAAGCTATACAATACATTCACCAGAAGGGTGTCATTCACTCTGATCTACGCCCTGAAAACTATTTGCTGCACAGGAATTCTGATGATATTCTCAATCTATTCCTTAGTGATTTTGGAGGCTCAACTAGTGGTGTCATAGATGGTGGACATCTCCCAGATTCTGGCTTTTTCAATCCACAGAAACCTTGGGTGTCAGTGAAAGCAACAGATATATTCAGCCTTGGATCAGTGCTCTATACAATTATGACTGGTCACTGGCCTTACAGGACCGCAGGGCCATTCAGATCATTGAAGGAGAAATTGATTTATGGAGAAAGAGTGGATGAACTCTTCTCCTTGGGTGTGTTTCCCCCAGTTGAAGGACTAATTGGTGGAGACATTATACAAGATTGCTGGAAGGAACAGTACAGAGAAGTAGATACAATTGTTCATGATCAGAGCATCATATTCAAAGAAATTTCATTACAGACTGAGAAGCATGAGAGTGTTGAGTCCTAATCACTATTTGAAATAATGCAACAGAAATCCAAACATCATCTATCACCCCATTCATGATTTCTCTGAAGTTGTGAAAAATTGTGAGGCGTGCATTTGTTGCCAAAAAGATACCCTTAGTTAGTTAACTAACATAGCCAAAGGCAAGACTGTGGCAGTTCTTACCTAAGGATTAATGCAGCCATATCTCCCACATTTTCCTTTCACTCTGTTTGAACTCAAAATGATTTCCTTACGTCCAGGACAGGAGGGAGTGCCAGGATCAGAGCAGGGAGTCAATTTGACATCTTCTATGACTCTATCACCACATTCATAAATTTTTGTGGAAACGACAACGGTACACATGCTGAGAAAGATTGTAAGTAACAGTATTCCAAAATAATTAGAGGCTGAATCCTACGCGGAAGTGATGAAGCCGAGGAAAGGATGTTCGAAAAAATCTTAGTGTGAGGTTAGAAAACATCCAATACAACTTGTAGTGAGCGAGTTGTGGTCGTTTGAGACGTTTCTTTGCCATGTTTATATAGGTTGGTACTAGGCCTAAGAGGTTTTGATTTTGGATTCTCAATAAACCGGGAACAGCACACGGCCTGTGCTGCCTAGAGCCTGCATGGCTTGTGCAGTTCGACTTTGAATTGCGATTTGATCAGCACCCCTGGTCGCTGCATACAATCCCGAGCATTTTGGAAATATAAGGAAGCTACTTGAACAAATCCAAAAGGGAGAGAGATGTTACACGTTTCATCTGCTGCTGTTGCCTGATGATCCCTCCCTGTTGAATATATGGTGTCCACAGCCACATATATCAACAGCCCCATGACTACAAATGAAGATGGTGATAAGAGCAGCGAACAGTGATGGTTTGTGTAATAACCTTTCCGGTTGTGCTGGAATTTCTTCGCATTCGCAGCATGTTGCACGACGAATGAGCGGCTGGGAGATAACTATGGCTGTTTACGAACTACAATCGGGCGGAAAATTATTGATTTGAAGTTCCAGGAAGATGTTTGCTCCCAGGTTGGGTGATCTACTTGCATTGCCCCAATCTTCCATTGGATGTCACCCGTAAGTTGCCGCAAAACCCCCCTTTCGGTCATCCACGTTGAGCGCTGGTAGAGTGCCAAATAGTAATCGGTCCGTCATTCTGTGGCTAAAAAGGCAAACTTTACATTATCCTACATCTTCTGCAGCAGACCCAGGTCACATGGTTTCGTTATAACCTCCTCCTGAGCCCCGCGTTCAGGTAAATTTTTTTGTAGAGCCTCCTTGCAGCACAAACAGCACACTTCCCTCCAGTTCATTCCACAATCGGGGTGACAAGAGGCGCCATGTGACAGACGGCGTGGGGTGGGATTAAGCGAAAGATTCGTAGATATATTAAACATTCACATTCTAGGGAACTAAGCTGTGAAAAAGAGCACTCATCTTTCAAGCTGGGTTCCCCTCACCGGTAGCTACCAGATGTTGTTGCATCCAAACATGCTGACTCCATTTCCTAGTCGTAGGGAAATCTCCCAGTGCGTTGAGAAGCAAAAGATTGCTGAACAAACCTGCCCAGTCTCTAAGCATCATTGGAATCAGACTTCTCTCACTAAAATCTCATCCTCTCTATACAAACCTCCTTATTAGAAAATGTAGTGGATTCAACTTCCACTGGTCTTTCTAGCACTCTTTTACCAAAAATTTCTATCTCAATCATATTCTCACCACTCAGACTGTATCATCAAGGCTCAACACTTGTTAATTTTTTTTTAATTATTCTAATATCTACACTCTTAGGAACTACATTCTGTAATATTTAATAGCTAATACAATTTCTATTCATGGTTGTTGAGAAATTCATTGAACTAGTAGAAAGAGTGATTTGTAGTTGAGATGCAATGCTCATCAAATGGTGGAATACATTACAATAAAGAAATTGCTAGCTGAATTTTTACACTTTATTTCTATAAAGTTTCTTTATTTTGATTTTAAATTGTTAGCATTCTAATGTGTCAAAAAAAGTAGATTGGTAAATATTGTATTTTGATATGCTGCCAAGTTGAGAATTATACCACAACTGAAAAACTATCTTCTTGCATTATGTCTCATTGCATCATGTTCATTATTTGAGAATCATTTATGATTTCAAAAAAAAAAAAAAAAACCCATCTCTAAATAAAGATATGAAAAGCATAAAACAGTTAATCAAAAGGAGAAATGTTTAAACTTGTCATAACCTACTAGCACTCATACGTTGAATCACCAAATGTTGACCTATGAGGGAAAAAAGCCATTTGTAAGTTCATGAAAACATGTCCTCTGCCCTCCTCCGCCTACCTCCTCGACCTTGAAGCTTATCAGAAAAGAGTTCTTTGCCCTCGTTGCTGCTGTATTTCGAAGGAAATAACTCCCTCACCGACGCTGCACCTTTGATAGAGACTCCTTTCGAGGCTCCACGAATAGATATCCCCTGAGTCTCTGAGGCAGAACCACGAATTTTGATTCCATTGTTGCCCGTTTTCTCTGGGAACAATTCGACTTGGCCTTTTGACCTGTCGGTTGCCACACCACCGCCCGCATCACTACTCACCAATGGAATTGCCATGTGATTGGAGAACAATTCCGCGGTTTCGTCCGCAGCGTCGAATGCATCAGAACGCCGGTGATTGCTTGTGGAAGTTTTATTTGGGAAAAATCCCTTCTTGAGATAACTAGATGACGTTTTATTCGGAAATAGCTCTCGGGGTCCAGAGCTGTCGTCGCTATTGACATATTCATGATCCCGGGAGAAAAGATCCCTGTTTCGACTGTTTATTGGGGATCGTTCTCGGAAGGGTCTACGAATTCGCTCCAGGCTATCCACTATAGGGTCCTCTTGATCGAATTCCACTCTAGGCGGAGAAGCGCTTCGATCTCGAAGACGCCCTTTGGGGCCATGCCCGTCATCGGGGAAAAGTTCGTGGCCAGCGCGTCTGTTCTGTCTTGCTCTCCCCTTCCCACCGCCATTTGATCCCGTTTCAGGTGAGCCACTTCTTCTGCGACCTCTTCCCCCGTCGTCATCGTACATGCTAACGTCGAAAAATTCATCGTTTGCACGGTCCCTTCTCCGTCTATGTTCCCTGTCATCGAAATGCCTTCTTGAGTAGTCGCTGTCGCTGTCATCCCGTCGACCGCCGCGCCACCTGTCAGCGAACTCTTTCCTCATGCGCTCTCGTGGGTCATGCTCCGGATGCATAAGGTAGAAGCGGCTACATTCATGCGCACGCTGCCTTTTTCGATCTGACTTCACTGCTGACCGTACTTGGAGCACCGATTCCGGATGTGTTGATAGGGATTTCGCTGTTCGGAGCCGTAGTGAAGGTAGTGGTGACGTATCTTCTTCAATGCTTTGTTGTGAAAATATCGCCAGGGCCTGGAGGCCGATTTCAGTCGAGCTGTACACGAAATTCGCAGATGTGTCATCGATCCATTCTAGCCGGACGGGTTCTTCCACAGTGAAATGCTCATTTGCGTAGCGCTTAAGATCATCCGTGGTCAACTCATCAACCCCCCTAATATGGACCTTCTCAAACTGGGGTTCCTCATTAAGGTGAGAGCTCGCCGCTGCCTCTTCCACCGAGGGTGTCGCCATAATCTCCTGTTGTAGCAAAGTGCATTAGAAACTTGTAGTGAAAACAAAGCCATAGTCGCTGATGTACTGACTGGCTCAAGATGCTCTGGTTCGGGCAAGGGACCTAGGTCAAGGTCCATATCAATATCCATTGATGTATCCATTGCGCTGAGAGCATGTGCTGTGTCATTGGAGGGCTGTGGCTGGAAGTGAGCAGCCGCCTCCATAGTGACAGCGGTAGCAGAGTTGTCAAATTAAAAAAAAAATTAACCCGGCTGTCGCAAGATAGCAACGGATGGCAATCACATGGAAAGAATGGTAAAGGTAAAGAGCAAGCGTCCTGGTGGTAGTGATTTTGTATCGCGGATTCAGTTAGTTTCCAACCTTCGTTCGAAGCCGAAGCTTTTTTGGCCCTGGAACTCCGCGCCCCAAACAGGCTAGCGTGAATTCGGGATCTTACACATCATACTTCAAACCTTTGGAATGGTTTGCAACGATCGTTTTAAATCTATATCAAAACTCAATTAAATCAGATATATATCTAGGATATAGATAGAACGATGCCAAACCCACCGAGATAATTTAAACTCCGCCACCGCGAGGCTTGTTCTGACGAAGATCTACTCTATTCTGATGGTCTTTGTTTGGCGTCCATCAGCTAGAGATGCTCTCTATAGCAAGCAAGCCAGCAGCACTACCAAAATAAATGTGATCAGAATTTCAAAATGCAGAAGAAGGACTATGTTTTTTTTTTTTTTTGCCTTTTATCGTCTTTATTGTCCATGCGGTGACGACGGGGGGGAGCTACTTCTGAATCGTTTTGTCCACATAACCCTCCACCAGACAAAGCACGCTTTCAAAATATCATCATGTAATATTTATCTTTTGGATAAATCAGCTCTCGAGACTAAAAACTCCTGCCACCCATTAGTCTCTCATCGTTAACTGTACGATGTGGAGGTGGAAGGAGTTGGACGCCAACATATTAATCTGGCTATCAGCTATCCCGCACCGAGTCTGACGGTGGATGGTAGTACCTAATAACACTGGTTCCCACAGCGAAACATCGACGTTTAATTCCAAGTTTCCAATTGACATTGGCAAGAAACCGGGTTTCGTTAGGCGTGCCACATTTCTCGAATGTCGTGCTCATGGATGTGCAGCTGAAATGGCTCGAAATGGAAGATTAGCAGGTATGTCATTGGATGTTCCTCATTGAAATTTTGGAGCGGTGATATACCTCCTCTGTGAATTCGTTAAGAGGTTGCGCAGCGGAAACAGTTACGGGGAGGCCTATTCCCATGCGCCTGCGATACAACGATATGATAAAGTACAGAGAGTGCATAAAATGTAGGTGCTGAAACTATTATGTGAACTCTTGTACAGTTTTTGGAGAGTCTAGCTTTTTGCCTGGGTAGTTAATCTGTCCTTGGGAGGCACTACCACACAATTACCGAAAATTGCCAGTCCAGAGCCTTGTTTTACAAAACTCAGGTCTTCTACTCGATCCCTTCGGTAGGGAGGGGGAGGGAAAGAGAGGCACGGTGCTGACATGGGTTTTCTTCCTGGAGTCCAAGAATCAAGTTTAAACTTCATTACCCGAAATAACACTCCTCCGAAAAACGGGATACACTTGAAATAAGCTGGTTTCCAAGTTTCCCCGAGGATCAATGCAATTTTATTGCTGGCGAGCAATGTTCTTCAGAGAGGAATCCGGCACGTAAAGAAACGAATTGTTGACTCCTGCCCGCTATGTGAGCGATCATCAATGAGATCGGATATGTTCACACAATCGTGTTTGTCTATAACATGGGCGTAACAATCGTATTGCTGGCTGAGAATAAGCCCAGTTTTACCCTGCCTCATTGTCGTAAATTTATGCCCAACCTGTGAATCTGGACAAGGCGGTTACCGTAATGGCTGACACTCATACGACAACATTGCTCAAGCCCTCCCCTCTGCAGAAAATATGCACATGACTGAGCGAGAGCCATGGTTTTGCTTCTGGTTCGACGTGGGTCGCCTGGTGCCTCATGGTACCTTTCGCACCTCACCTTGTACAGGCGAATCACATATTGCTGATACCTGCAAAACGATCTGCCATCAACCTCTTTTCTCTCTCATTTGGCTCAGTTGTACCGGAAATGGATAGATAGGCGATGCGAGCATTAAGCTTATCCCTTGAATATAGAGATGCAAGGCAAACAGTACCCAAAGCTGGATATATGCAAAGTTAAAAAGTCCAAAGTGACGTTGAAATAAAGGCAGGGAGAATTATCCTCAAAAACTTCCAAGGCCGAGAATAACCGCCAAGGATGTTGTACGACAATAATGACCGAAATCCATAAGCCCGAGGCTTGACGCCCATTTGTAAAGAGTCAGAGAGCGATTCAAACAGCAGCATTCACATTTCTGGCTCATTTCCCCTTCCCAGCCGACTTTCCGACTTTTAGCTGATAAACTAGGGTCCTGTTCAGAATAACTCAAGGATTTTTCCGCAGCGAGTGAAAGTGTGCATTTGCACGCTATTGGCAGTTTTCTACTTAGGCGAGATAGGGGGAGGGAGTCCTCTGCAGCAACCCGAAAACGAATGCCATACATCGTAACAAGATGTCCTGTATTCCATACAGTCCAAGTCAACAGTAGAACTCCTTGGTTATGAACAAGGCCACACCACACACGGCCATCAGCGCCTGGTGTGAATGACGCTTATCAATGAAGGGCTAGAAACAGAGATGTTGAGAGAGTGGGTATCCACGTATCGTAGTGTAGGTACGATACAAAAATGAAAATTGAAACACGTAGATAAGATCGTCTTTTAAGACTGATTATCTGGAATGTTATCTGGTAACATTCCAATTCGGTTAGCGAGATTCGGTGCTGGGTTTATAACAATGAAGCAGCGGAAAAATACATAGCCGACAAGCCGACACCGGAAAGTAGATATTAAGCTGTTTGAATAGGGGAAAACCTTCCATTAATTAAAGGCAGATTTGGGCTAGGGATAAAACTTAAAAACTGATAGCCTTTCGATAAACCTGGGCTCGAAACCACTGGATGGGATCTCCTATCCCATTCAAACGGATACACTTGGTCCCAACATCCGTGACATCGGTTAGTGATCGCGAATTTTACATGGAAAAACGTGTTAAAAATCCCAGCGAACAAAAGCTGGCTGCGGGCGGGAGGCAATAGTACCAATAAGAAAACAACAGGGTTCATTCGTTTCTTTCCGCTAATTGAGCACCCGAAAAGCGATAGTGTCTGCAAGCCACCCGAAAGAGCGGTTGTCGTTTCGTATTATCCAGCTCCATGACAATGGAACGGACAACTGGGTCCGAGTACCAGGTTAAGAAGAAATTTTCTTAACGGTGGAATTGTTGCCATTGGGTCTGACGGTAAAAGCTCCTCTAGGACCTTGATACTACCTGAGTATCAGCATGAAAAAAATATAATAGGTTCAGAATAACATAACCTATTGAGATCATCGAGCGGCGGCCGGAGATCATCGAGCCCGACCCACGGGACAATGGGAGCAATAACAGCCGTTTCTATTGTTCCCCAGAGAGATGCATTTCTGCCGCCGCAAATGGGAATTGCGCATTGACAAACGGCAAAATAGCCGTGAGCGACCTTTACGTTTTATTTCTCTTAGTAATGGGCACTGATATCTGCAAAATAGCGGCTCCGTATTGGTAACGGATATGTATTTAGGTGAACAAATGATTGGAATGGAGAATAAACAAATGGTGGCTGAATTGTTAGGTTTGCTTTTTCTAATTTTTTTGAAGCTGGGGAGGGGGTTCTTCTCAATAATGGTTTCACGTCCTCCGGAAAGCAAACCTTGAATAGAGCTGGCTTCTGGACTCATTTTCCAACCAGTGACCCTCGCCGTTGAGGAGGATATGTAAGGAACATCAACAGCTATCCTGATTGGGCGTAAATGTCAATATCCCTCTCGAGTATTGCCAACGTGCCATGAACTGCACTTCGTAATATTACTTCCTGGTTGCTCTGCAGAGTGTGCATTGGGGGAGGGAGGAAATCTGGGAACAATGCAAACCTTGAAAGCCCCAACAGGAAAAGCAGTTCGTCTGGAAGAGCCAAGATCACGAGGTGCGGAGCCGCCATCCATTTCAATTCTTGACCGGACAAGAGCGTTGACCCGTTTGGTCCCAGAACCAGGGTTTTCAAGCCACCACACCATCCGTTGCTTTTGGCGCCTAAGGTTTCTTTTGTTCCCTTGGGATGATGATATTTTTTAGGGCGATTCAATTGGCGGGGTAAACCCGACCAACAAAGGATGAAGATCATAAACTCGATGGATTTTATGAATGGGGGGGGGGGGGGGGAGGACATAGCACTCTAACCGCCCGTTCGGTCTTTGCCTCCAATGGATCCCTCCAGCCCAAGATTCAATCGGAATGCCATAAACCCGTTGCTGTGTACTGCGTACATGTATGATTGTTTGGTTTCGAAACGTCTCAGCCCGTGGCTGTTGAATAATATGATTCGCCAAATAATACTTGAATGGGGGGACAAAGAAGGCGAAGTCGAACTTCCTAATTGAGGATTGACCATTGCTGAATGATGAAACCCCACCTACGTCATGCATGGAAGGGCAGGTAACAAAGGAAACATGGGCAGTCTTCGAAGGTGAGATGTATCTCGTGAATCGTCGCCTAGATACTGCAGTGCAGAGGCATTACCTATAGTTGTTCAACGTTGCCTGTTTGTCAGCTAGGCGTGGCACTGTTACACGCCATCCCAAAGGGGTATTTCGATAGGAGGTTTCTGTATCTCCGGGCAAACCCATGCAAATGCCAAACAGAGATATACAACCGCTCTACTATACGTTGCACGCACACAGCTCTGAGTCTTCTGCCACGGGATGCAGGCTCCATCTTCTACCTAGGTACGTACGTTCCTAATGACAGCACAGCGAGTCAACGACAGGTTCCCACAGCAGTTGCGCAGTTGCGCAGTGGTTACGCAGTAGTCATGTAGCGGGCAACTCGAAATCCAACGTCCAAATTAAGTTGCGCTAGTCCACACCTTAATTCTACCCCCAGAATTCTAGGCCAATCAGAGCGTTCGGCTTACTTCAACTAACCCAGTAAGATCTACGTCGCAAACCCTACTGCCTTGTGGATATATCAAACTAGAAAACGTCCAACCTAACAAAAACTTACTCCGTGATAATAAATGCAGGAGGGGGGAGGGGGGAGGGTGGATGGATGGATAATTTTTTTATTTTTATTTTTATTTTTAATTTTTAGCTGTTTAAACAGACAGCAAAGTCTTGCCAAGCAAGCCCATTATCCTTCACAAAACGTGGCATCGTTTTACCCTTTGACCCACCCTACTGGATGTGTAGGTCTCGTACCATCTTCCCCAATGTCCATGATAAGTCCGTCTGTCCTACCTACGTCCTTGCTGTCGCTTTGTGCGGATCTAACTTCATTCCTCCCAGAAGATTTATTACGGGCGTGACTGAATACATCTTCGATATGGATCTGTGCTACCTTGCGTTTCCCAACCACAATTCCAGAAGGGATGGGGTTTATGTACTGTGACATCCGCTGGGCCCGCTCCAGTAGACCAAAGGCGCAAGGCTATGTGCAACAGCTTCAACACACCAAGCATGGATCGCCCAACACGAGGTTTGGTACAACCTTTTGTGCTGCACCATTACCATGTAGTGCTGTGCGTATACTTTCTGGCCCTCATGCATATTTGAAGCTGTTTACAAATCCCATCCCGCATGGCTTAGTCAAATAAACATCAAAGGAAATATTCTTTGATGAAAGAATGAAAAAGGAGAGAGTGGGTATAATTCGAAGGCAGTAGCTGGTTGTTAAACAATGAATGGAACGCCCCAGGATTGTCATTCTTGGTTTCCTCTAAACAAGCCCTTCAATTTGACACATGGCGCCGCAATAATGTCGTTACTTAGTACCCGAGTAAAGATCCGAAAATCTGGGGTTCTGCGCATAGTATCGGTACATGCATACCATGCTTTTGTGAACCGGCACACAAATTGAAAAACTGTTACGCATCCTTGAGGGGTTGCAGAATGGGTGTTCAGCGACTAGATAACCCCCAATACAGAAAAGCGATTGAAAGATAAATTTGAATCTTTGATAGGTCCAGCCTCCACACCCGACTCCCCTTCGTATCTAACCACTCATGTCATTCGGAATATATATATATATATATGTGACTAAGAAATAGTAGGTGCGATAAAAGGGGAACACGTCTAGGGTCGTAAACTCCGCATTGGCATGGGCTTTTTTCGCGCCTCCTCCTCTTGCTCCGGTCACGCTCGTATTTCAAAAGCGGAAACCAAAAAGAACATTTTGTTTGATTTTTAACTTGGAGCTGATGGGATCGCGGAGAGTGCGCGTGGCGTCCCTCTCTCATACGTCGGCGTGTATTGTTTTATTTGCATGGTGATAAGAATAGGGGGTGCCAGTCAGGACACTTCTCTACAACTCGAATATGGTAAGACAGGAAAGGCAAAATCTGATCAGCCGGCAGATGAGGAGGATGGAGGAATACCACTAATCACAGCTACATTAATGCTCATAATATATGTACGACCTGAATACTTAAAAAGCCAGTGTTCGTGGGTGTAGAGCTGAGAAACCTTTTTAGCTTGAGATCAATCCAATCAAGTCCTGAGTAAAAAAATGATATACAAGCATGTTACCACCATCATGGGACCAAGAGCTCCAATGAAGCCCTATCTCAGGATTTCATCGATGAATCCGGGATTCAAAAGCTAAATTCCCAAACGGGCCGCTTGCGGAGGTCCACGGATCGTCAGCCACCAAAAAAGGGACAACGTTGATAGGGCGAACGTACGGTAAAAACAAACATGCAAGCAAGTCTGCCCCATTGGTCTTTGTTTTTCTTTCTCAGCTTTTATCTGAATATTACCCCCTCGTAAACAAACAACATCGTTAAGAGATAAGAAAAAAGAATCTAAGCTATGTAAACGTTTGCGGACCCTCGCAGTGCAAAGAATGTGTGTGCGGGAATGCTTCATGCACCTATTTTCCCTCTTTCTGCATAACGAGGGATAAAGCAGCTCCGCTGGAAAGCATATATAGTACGTGCTCAGTATAAGCAACGCACAGTTCATCGGCCTAGTTTGCCTCGTTATTCCTCTTCCACTCCAGCCAGTTTCGAACGGTGGTACATGTACACTGTACAGCAGACGTACCGTAGGTACGGAGAACATCCACATGCTGTATACAGATGGCAGGGAGTGTTGCTGGTGACTCTGAGAGAAGAAACGGGAATTACAAAAGAAAACTGGAAAATAAAAAAAAATAAAAATAAAAACCCCGCAAAATCGGCAATCCATTCGTGTTGTAATGGAGTTGGCTTTGCCTGTAAAAATTAAAGTTATAATAAAAAAAATGAATAGGGAAGAATCCAATCACCCAATAGTTGCGACAATCATTATCACCCTTCTCAACTCCGCATTTATATGAAAAAGCACTTTAAACCTCCCTAGCACAAGCTGCAGCATGCGTCGGAATATGCAGCGATCAGCAAGCTGGAACTTGCCTTTCGTTTCGAAATTAGCAGAAAAATGCAATACGAGTGCATAAGGGTATCTTTTGGGGCGAGGAAGTTCTATAGTCAAAGGTTCAAACACCGTTTTCATGATGGGGTGTGCCATGGAAAATAGGAGGGTTACGGTTAGGCGAGCTTTTTTGGTGGTGGCTGCGACCAAAGAAGGCGGAGTTAGCTTTACCAAACAGAGCCATGACGTTATCGAATAGGAATGAAGGGCTGAAAGAATCAACGAAGGAGAAAAGGTCAAGGAGAACCCGCCAGTGATTGGGTGGCGGAAGTCTGAATAATTAGGTCGTTCCGGTAGTTGGTACTTGTACCAGGTGAGTTGGTAGATCATTACATGTGAAAAGTGCTGGAATCTTTAGGAGGTTTTGTTTGGGATTAAAAAAAGCATTGTTTTTCTATAAACAGTGGGCTTCCGTACTGGTACATATTAAATAATAGTGATATCATACGACATAGCAGCCCAGTTAGTTACTATAACAGAAAACGAAGGAAATAGGGTCGAGACTCGACAATGACCAAAGACAACTTCGGCGAAAAAATGTTAAAAAAGAATAATTAATGGGAATAGGGGGAAGAAAATGGCGCTGGTCCCTGTAATTTAGATCGGCCCGTCGCGATTCCAGAAAGCATTTGGCATTCCGATCTGTAGCACAAGGTGAATTAGGAAAGGAAAAAATATATATTATATACTGGAACAGATATGTGCAGCCTAGAACGGAGGAAACGGGAGGGGATAAAGATTCAGAAATTGGTAGTTGGAAAATGCTTCATAAAAGGAAAATATACCCGTATTCCAAAAATAAATAAATAAATAATAATAATAATAATAATAATAATAATAATAATAATAATAATAATAATAATAACAATAATAATAATAATAATAATAATAATAATTAATTAATTAATTAATTAATTAATTAATTAATTAAATTAAATAAACAAATAAAAATTAAATAAAATAATAAAATAAAATAAAGAATGACGATCGCAATAGCAATGGCGATAATGATTAGAGATGGATGATGCACCTTTTCCACTGTTTAACGCTAGTAAGAATCCGCGCCCCGCCTATGAAAGGAGACCTGGTGGAGAATAATAATCACACCCACGCATGCTGATTAGTGAGGGACAAAATGTTTAAAACAAAAGGAAATCCGCAAAAGGAGAAACACTACTCCACTGGTACCCAAAAGCTTCAAAAACGGCCAGAATAGATTAATAGGGAATTTTTGCAACGCGACTTCAATTCAGCAATGTCTCGAGTCCCATCCTCGAATCTCTAGGTGGTGATGAAGCTTGAGTTCGAGAATACGTTGTCGGGGCAAGCTGGCTCTGGGGTGCCGAATTGGAATATTGGTGTTTCCAATGTTGGTGCCGATGGGATTCTTGAGGACATGCAACAGGGGGGCCAGGGGCCCAACGTCGCGGAACGGCCAGTTCCGGAAGATACTCGATGTTTTTAGAAGTAGTAGACTCATGGTAACTTTCATCGTGGGCAAATAGGTTAGAAAATGATCGGGGGGTTGGGGCACTGCCCCTGCGACGTCCATCTTGTCCGGAGTGGATTTCTACCGGCACTGGGAGCATGGAAGGGGATTCAGCAGTCCGGGGAGATGCAGAACATATGGAGTTGTGGTCGGAAACCATCGAGGGTGGCCTGGATGACATGGGGTTGGAAATTTCTGAAGAAGAAGGAGAGGGTATGGTAGGCAATTCCGTGCGCATGTGAGGGACATAAGTCACTATAGGGCTGAGTTTGCGGTGGTTTCTGATCGGAGACCTGTGGATAAGCGCTCGTCTTGGCCATTCGAACTGAGAGTCATACTCATACTCCGCGGATGAACACAGCTCTCTTCGTTCTTTCGTATCAGTCTGAGGATACTGTATCCTGGTGCCCGGATGCTGCTGATCGCGATGCGGAATGGAAACCCAGGAGGTCCTTCGAGCTCCATAGCTGCTGTCTTGACAAGAGCTTCTGTCGCAGGGACTGCGCATCGTCACGGGCCGTCTGGGGTAAGGGGGATCGACACGCCCATTCAATGTTCGAGCGGGGGAGTGGTTCCCACTACCCGGAACAATCAATCCCCTCCGCTTTCGGTTCATGGAGCCATTCCACCAGTTTTTAACAGCATTGTCGCTTCGGTTCCCAAGCCTTCTTGCAATCTCCGCCCATCGCTTTCCCATCTCGTGGACCATCCTCTCGATCATCATTCCCTCTTCAGCGGATATCGGCTCATGATTTAGTGATGGTTTTAGGTTCTGATGAAATCGCTCTCTGCATTGCTTGGGTGATCGGAATTGCATGTGTTGTGAAATGCGAACCCAGTTGTTTGGACCCTGGCTGCGGACCAGTTGAAGTAAAGTTTGATCTTCCTCGGGAACCCACGGCCCTCGTCGTTGGGTTGGTGCCATCGTCTCTTCCAAAGAGTAATATTATTATAGAATAACAATTTATTCGAAAGATAGATATCAATCCGTTCAACAGCTCCGCCAATAGGGGAGAGGTTTCACCCCCGGCCCAACAGACGGTTGTAGAAGAAGAGTATACAAGACAGGTTTGGCCAGAAGCAGTAATTCTAATACAGGGATGAATTAGTTGACGGGCCAATATTAATAATATATGCTGGCGAGGTATAGATAGCTAGGGTCGGTAATATAATAGAAAGAGACGTAATAATATATAAGGGAGGGGGGGGA